AGTGTGTGTGAGAACCACACACACACACACACACACACACACACACACACACACACACACACACACACTGTTATTACACGTTGTGTAATAACAGCTTTTTGATCCTTCAGCATGTTTGATGAGTTTGTGCCAGGCATTTCTGGGATTTCACATTCTCTTCAAGATTCACCATGCAGCAAATCTTTGTCCTTTGAACTTGTTTGCAAATAGTTGAAAGTCATTTAGTGTCAAGCCTGGTGATCAAAACAAATGACAAGTGCTCAAAAACAAGTGAGTGAGACAGGTGGTGCAGAGCTGTCATCCCAGCCACTCTGGAGGCTGAGGCAAGAAAATCAGAAGGCAAGGGTAACCTGGGCTAAGAGTGAGTTCAAGGCCAGCCTGGAGAACCTAGAGGACCATGGAAGCGGGGAATGGGGACTGGCAAGATGACTCGGTAGGTAAAGGTGCCCATGTGGTGGAAGGAGTGAACTGACTCCTGCAAGTCCTCCACTGACCTCCGCACACATGCTATGGTATGAGCATGTATGTGCACAGTAAATAAATAAAAAGAATTTTAAAAGGGAAAGTTGTGAGTTTGTAGCTTGATGATGGGGCACTTGTCTGGCATATTCAAAAGCTCTGTGTTCAATTCCCATCCACCATCCTCTGCCCAAGGTCTGAGTGAAAGGCTGGGGCTTTTGGCTTTCTTGCAAAGAGGAGCTGTAGACTCAGTCAGAGATGTCTTACTAGAATGAATACACACTCCTGTGTTTTTCCATGTGGGACCCCAGGTGTGATCCATCCTTGATACTGGTATTCAAAAATAAGAAGAAAAACAAATTATATATGTATTTATGTATGAATGTTTCATCTATAATGGAATGCTTCATTAATTATCCAAAATGCCTTTAGTCTCCAATTGTTTTTAGACATAATTTTTTATTGATTCTTTGGAAATTTCTAGTTTCCTCCAAATCTTGTCCCACAGAAAGACTGTCTGTGTTAAACACGTATGAAGCAGGAAGTGTGTATCCCAGTGTGTAATACAGACGTATATAGATCCTGCCTGTGAGGAACTTAAAGTCTGGCTGGAGAAGAAGCATCAACATCCCACAAGCTCTTTCTGCTCCTGCTGTTGCCCTTTTCATTCTGCAGAGGAGGAGCCAGGGAAGGAGCTGGTGTGTTGTTTTCAACAAAACACGCAGCCCTGGCACTGCTTTGCCTTGGCAGCCGTTCAGATGCCCAGAATACTGCTTCTTGCTCTCTTCTTCTCTCACTCTCTTTTGTGTCACTACGCTAGGGGAACCAATCAGTGATCAAGAGACTGTTTGGCAAGGGCACAGCAAAGTAAGTGGATTTTAGCAGCACGTACTCCAGGCTCTAGTGAAATCTGCCAATCATATGACCCATAAGACACAGGAATCTTGCTTGTGGCAGAGCCTCTGGCTTCTCTCCCTGTCTGCAGGGGTGGACACTGAGAGCAGCTGGTCAGAGGGGATCTGCCAAACATGCCTGCAGATCTCAAGTCAGAGAGAGTCTAGGTGTGTCTCTGACCAGCTCAGACAAGCAGGTAAAGAGACTCTGGCATTTTAATCCTCTGAGCTTATAAATCCACCCAGCCCTGTGCAAGCATTATAGGCAACAGA